CTGCATTTATGGGTGGGGCATGAATTTATGGGCAGGGTATGTATTTATGGGCAGGGTATGTATTGATATCCTTCCAGCTGGAGGATACTGGTGGATATTGAAGGATACTGGCAGATATTGAAGGATACTGATGGATACTGGTGGATCTTGGTGGCTGACTGCATCTGCCAGCAGAAGGAAACTCCCTCCCATGGATGCTGTACCCCAAACCATGCCATGTTTGTCCAAACTTTATCTGCGTTTGTTTCCCTCAGCACTGGAGTCCAGGCTCCTTTATATTTTCAGAAACAAACCTTATCTAATATTCATCTTCAAATCATAAATTCTGCTGCTAAAATTGAATACTTCCTCATGCTCCATAAAAGAGGTAGCAACAAGCACAGAAGAAACAGTTTGACTGCTGGACTGAGTTTTCTATTTATGGGCTCTGACAGTCTGAGGCCAGGTCAAACACAATACAGAAAAATACTCTCCAGTGGAGATGCAAAAAATCCTTACAATTGAGGACTTTCTGTTCTAAAAGGTTTTTACATTTAGTTTTTCACTTGAGATGCAATGTTCCAAACAACTGCATGATCTGAAATTAATTTTTCAGCTTAACTAGAAAAAGCAACCTCCAGTGTATTAGAGAAATAAATTTTGCCAACTCATTTTGACAAATAGTTTCCATTAACACATTTATGCTGCCACATTATCCACACTAACACTTGTTGCACATATATATATATATATATACATACATACAGCTATATATATATTTTTTAAACATTTTTTTAAAAAAGGTTTCCTGGTAAGCTACCTAGCTGCTGACAGCCTGGCCTAGCCTACAACTTTGGTGTGGCTTAAACATTTCAAGAGTAATAAATCATGCCTGGGATCTATTGTTCTGTCAATATTTGAGACAGAAACAGGGCAGAGAGCTCTTCCCCTGTACAAGTGGAATGCTGGAAAACACTGACAATCCCAAAGTGAATGGGCTTTTGGGGAAGTATTCTCACTTTCCATGTTCCAGTTGGGAGGCCAAGGAATTCCAACTGTTCTCTAACACTTCCTACAAGTGTTTCATACCAACCATTTGCCTGAATGATTTATACATCAGAATTTATGCTTTAAATATTATGAAGTATGTCTTAAAAGTAGAGCCATGGCTGCACAGTGCTTGTTTGTGCCATTAAAATCTGTTACCTAGGAAATTACCCCCTTCTGCCACCAAAGGAATCCAGGGTGTAATTATTCTTAAGCAGTTACTAAAAGGTGAATTTAATGCAGTGGGGTGAAAATGTTTAAATTGCATAAAAGTTTAAAGGAGGAGAAACACATTTATGCTGGGGTGAATAGTGCCTGGTGTTAAGGCTGCCATGGGAAAAATACATACAATAGATGCTGTATAAAATTAAATATAACTTAATTGAATGATGATTGCTTAATTTATTTTATTACCTAAGAAAAACTCAGTGCAACAACTACCAATAAATGTGCACCGCAAAACAGAATTCATACTGGAATTCATGGAGAGAGTCATGCAACCAGCTCCTCTACAATCCTTACAAATGCATGTATAACCAAAGCTGACACACAGCAAGCAGATACAGAGAAAATCTGCAGAAACACTGTGAAATGTAAGAGCTCATCTAAAGGGTTGGCCCTTTAAAATTAAAGAAGCAGAGAATATTTAAATAAATGCATCCTTACTGTGCTCAGAACAGTGCAGGTGAGCAGCAACAAAAGGCTACAACGGGGACCAGGGGAATGATGAGATCCCAAAAGCATTTGAACAGTGCACAACAACTCACCAGAAATCCATGTAATTAGCTGTGAGAGACTCATTAGAAGAGAATATTGTGGTACAGTGGATGTGCACAGCCAATGAGCTAGGACAGGGAATTAGGAGGAACAATCATCAGAGGAGTGAAGGGCTAGCACTAGCCAAACAGGGAGCAAGGAGGCAGCTGTGCACATGGTTTCCACTTCATAAATTTGGATTTACGTTTTTAAGGAAAAAAATCCCTGATTTTAAATAAAGAACTTTTCAATGCATGACATTTTATTTGCTAACAAGCATGTACATCACACTTTTGGAGGTTGTCTGGGTATCTGTGTTTATGTTTCTGACCAAAAACTGTCTGGAAACTTCAATTCAACAACCCTGGCAGCAGGAAGCCTGAGGGATCATCCCTTTTCCAGAATACCACATTAAAAGGTTAAATCACTGCTCTAAATATGTGCTTACATTTTGGTGACATTTTATAGACACGAAGCATTTTTTGACAATTATTCCATGAGTGCAGAAATGAGTGCACACCTACACTTCATTTAATATACAGTGAGTTGCATTCCCAACTCGGAGCAGATGCACAGAAAATATTGTGTCCCCATGTCATCCCTGATTAGCCAATTCCTGTCATTTTGGGATTTACACTGGAGCTGCTGCCAGTTCTGCAGCTCAGCTGCCAGACAGGGAGGTGGTTCTTCAGCACAGAGGTGGATATCAGGGTGTGCCAGCTGGAAGCAGTGCACAAGCCTGAAAAGGGGAAAAAAACCCCAGAACAATCCCACTAAAAGAATTAACTCTCTGTGATCTTTCCCTTGCTCAAGTCAGCATTTTCAGAGAGAACTGATTTTTAAAACAAATAGATCCCACCCAGGATGAGAGGCACGTGTGGAACAGCAAATGTGTGCACCAAGGTAAACAGGGTGAGCAAATCCCACACAAACCTGTGTGCCCCAAGGTAAAGAGGTGAACAAGCCCCACTGGAGGCTGGGGGCAAACACCAACCACAGCACCTTCTCCCTGGCCTCTGTTTCACGTTTTCTCCTTATTGCTAGGCACACCACACACCTCCTTCTAATAAATCCTTTATTTGGCTGATGTGGAGTGCTAATATTTGGGTAGCGAGGATGATCTTTCAGGTAACAGACTTTCCTGTAAGGTAAGCACAGAGCACAGCTCTAATATTTGCACAGATGAGAAAGGAGGTCACAAGGGGTTCCATTTCCTCAAGGAACTGCTCCTGCTGACGTCAAGAGACAGTTTGCATAAATATGGCCAAGAAGCAGGATTTAACCCTCCACAAAAAACTGGAAACACTCACTTGGATTGCTCTAGAAAAATAAGAAACTTAAGAGGAAAAAATTAGAAGTGTTTGAGAGACAACATTCATGACGACATCAGTTTCCTCCAGCAAGATGCAAAGGTGAGAAAGCTTCCAGATGGGAGTGCCTTCAGTTAACCTCCCGACTCCTGGGTCTTTCTGGATTTTTTTGATCCATAATCTCTGGACCAAACAGTCTTTTTTTCATATTAGATCTGTTTTTCAGGATACTCCCATGTCTCTAAAATTTCTAAAGGTGTAAACACATCAAAAGCTGGGCTAATCATCAGGATATGCGCATTGGAATAAAACAGGATGCAGACACAAACTGAACGCTATTTTAAGACTTGTGGTGGTAGCAAAAATCTGCAGAGATTTGTGCAGGAGCTCTTTCACTGGTTTTGGCTAAGTGCCCAGCTAAATCCTGACAACACTTGAGATGTTCAAAAGGCAATTTTCTGTGATTATAGCATGAAATACACTGAGTTGATCTCATATCTTGCATTGTACACCACTTTATCCAAAAGCAGAGGGCTAGATTTAATAGTATTATTAAATTATAGATTTATCACGCTCTGAGTTCCATTGGCCCTGATTTTTTTTCTTTCAGCTTTACATTTTAGATGCTGGTAAACAGGCACTGTAATAGCCAGGCTTCTGCTGAGGGTCACATCCCAGAGCAAGTCTCCTGTCAATCCCCCCCACTGCAAAGCAAGCAGGGAAAGCAGCCCCATCCCTGCTCACTGACATCAACCCAACACATTTTATTTTAAAATGCACCGCAGGATGTCTCACTGGCCTGTGTGATCCCAAAGCAGACAGCTGGGACAGCAGCTGGATTTGGAAGCAGACTTGGCTCTAGCATGTAGGAGGGCTGAGTGACTGCGTCTGAGTGCAGCAGGAGTGTGAAATGCACTGACCTTTCTTTGCCAGGTTGCTGTTGGGTTCATACTTCTCAATCAGCACTTGAACTTGCTCTTGTTTGAGAGGTGGGTAAAGGATCTCATTCAATCGTGGATCCCGCTGCTTCAAATTGATGAAGTCCATCATCTGATCCACAGTAAGGTAGGGCTTGCTCTTGGCACCACTGCAGAGAAATTAAAGCAACAGCAAAGTCACGTTAATACATTTCCTTGGAGTTCTGGGTCTGAAACTTCCCAAGGAAACTGAAACAAGATTCATACAAAACTATCACACAACAGAAACATCGCTCCACTGTGCCTCTGCACTGATTTATTTTGCCAAAGTTTCTCCATCAGACATCTAGGAGGAAGATCTTTGACAATGTTCAGCATTACTGGCATCAATGGGAAGACTTGGAGCAATGCTAAAAGCCTTTCATTCCTCTGAATTCTTGGGATGGAGCTATTTAAAAAAGCAAAAGAGAAAACAGCCATGGGATTCAATCCCCAGCTTGCCACAACCACTCTGCTGGCACTCCTGGCCCAGCTATTTGGGTTACTGCTGAATAACAGCAGCCCTGATTGCATTATTCTGGTGATTTGTGTGGGTCCCTTTTTTAGAAACCTTCTAAAAGCTTCGAGGTGCTCTGCAAGGCAAGCAAAAAGCTGCCTGTTTGGGGAGGCAGTGAAGAGAGCAGAGTTTGGCACAAGCTGTGCCCCGACAGAAACCCAGGCTTGCTGTCCTGCCTCCACTGATCAGGCTGTGCTCAAAGTGAAGCACACAGATTGCTGCAGGGGTAGGGGCACCAGGAGTTACACAGCTCAGAACTGAATGATCAAATCAGTTGTAGCCAGCTGCTAATTTAATTTCACGGTGTGAATCCATCATACTCAAATCCTAAAAGTTGCTGCATTTTTTCCCAGTCCTAATTAAGCTTTTGGGGGTGATTTTCATGCCTATTTTGTGCTGTTATTGCTTATTACTCTTCTTTCTTGACTTTCTCAGAAACCTAAGGTGTCCTGATCAATGCAGAAAAACAAGACCTGGCAGTTCTGCTCCTCCAGGAACAAATTCCTTTAAAACTCAAGCCATCAGAAGTGGAGGTAAAAGCCTGGGAGAGAAAGACACCCTTGATCCAAGATTAAATAACAGCCCTGCTTGACATTTGAATCTGTTACTGGCCAGCCCTGCGTGCTGCTGTAGTGTAAATAACCCACTTTGCCATGGCCAGCCCAGAAATCAGTGAATGGGGAAAATAAATAAATAAAAAAATAAATAAAGCAGTGAGAGTGCTTCCTTACAACTCAGAGAAGATGTGGTCGATCTCAGGCCGAGGGCAGAGGTTGTTCAGGAACACTCTGTACACTTCTGGCGTGAAGTCGTCTTGAGGGATTGAATCATTCTGTGAAATGGGGAAACAAACAGACAAAGAGAGACATACAGCACTGTTATATGTTCTGTGCACACTGAGCACTCAGTGTTGGCTGCTTTTGATTTCCTTCCTGCAACCCAGAGGAGCCCAGGTTCTGCAGGGTTGTAAGCTCCCCTGAATCCCAGAGCAGCTTAAAGAGTACAGCTTAAAAAAATACACACAAATATATCTGTATTTTAATTTTATTTACTATATTATGTATAACGTTTATTATATATAATATTATTTGTTACATTATATATATTTATTTTATGTATTATATATCTATATTTTTTATTAATTATTTTTTATTTTTCAGCTTCCATGAGGCCCAGGTATCTCATCCTGTGAGCACGTGGGAAGGAGGAGGAAGGCACATGTCCCTACCTAACCCCCTGCCCCAGAGCAGGAATGGGTGTAGCAGCCCTGCTGAGTCTCTGAGCTCACCCCAGCCGTGCTGAGCCCGTGGCTGTCAGTGAGCAGAGCAGCAGCATCACAGGGTGAGGATGTCACTCATCCTGCCAGAGCTGTCACACAGCTGGGGAGCAATCTGGGTCACTGTGTCACTACTGCTACACTTGTTCCCTGGCAGCAGCGGGGATCCTGCCTGTTCCTTCCTGCACATACACGTTCAGGATGCCACCGTTCTGGGCAGCACTCAAGCAGCACAGCTCTGCCATCCATCTTTATCTTTGTCCTGAACACTCAGTGTGACACACTGAGCAATCACATTTCTTTTAGAGGAATTGATAAAAATGCTCACCTGCAGAACACATGCCAGCATTTTTTTTCCCTTACATCTTCTACAATTTAGAGTGATTTAATTTTAGAGTGATGTAAATTTAGTCTAACTTCTAGATGACAATTTCATCACCCTCACTACATTCTTCTCCAAAAAAGTCAAATTACTGGAGGCATCTACTGTACTGAGTATGAGTCCTTCATCCAAAGCTGTGGCATGTGGTCGCTGGGAGCACCATGGCCCACAGTATGGCTCTCCATGCTCCCAAAAGGGATGAACTAGAGGAAGAGGATGGTAACTAGGGCACAAAGCTGCTTGCCTGGCAAGGCTGGCTGGGGCAAGCAGTGCCTGTGTTACTGTGCCTGTTCAGCAGCGTTGCCAGGGGAACCTGCAGCATGGCTCAAGCCTTTGTCAGACCCAAGGAAACTTTGCTGTGATCTTCCTGCCTCAGGTTACAAGAAATAAACAATGCCACAGGCATCACTTTGTGTCCTTTCATCTGAAATTCACACAGCTTGAGAGGGCTTTATCCTGTTTCTGTCCACAGGAGTCAATCTGTCCCAGCCTGACCAGTCTGGGCTGTTCTCTGCTCTGCCTGGACAACCATCCCCAGGCTCCCACATTCTGGGTGACCACAGCAGAGCCCTAACCCTCCTTTTTCTGGCAGGCTGGGGTGGCTGCAGGGTGAGCTGGTTCAGACTCCCCCAGCCAGTGTGTATTTCTCCCTGTGTGTGTTTCCCATGGGATCAATCCCTGAGCCAGGTAACTCACTGCTGCCAGGGCCAGGCTGGATGGAGAAGGGGGAATGCTGAGGGGACAGCATGAAAACAGGGCTGCCAGTGGCACTGCCCCCATGGCACTGGAAAATCCAAGCTGTGCAGCTCTCGGTGCCAACACCTGTGCTTGCCTTGAGGCTGGGATTCTCAAAGCTTGGGAATTCTCCTGCTAGAGTTGGCAGCCTGCCCTCCCCTGCTCATAACCTCTGTCCAGCAGGGTGCTGCTCCTCAGCCAGGCCTTTTCAATGATTCTCTGACCCCCACAGAGCCACAGCTACATCAAGCCACTATTTTTTTCTTTACAAGGGATTTGAAGGTGCTCAGCTGAACAAAAGTTGATTTCTTCCAATAGCCTGAGACCCAGGCTCTGATTTGCCCCTCAGACCCAATTAGCAGACATCAGTTTGCCTCCCTGTGTCTGCAAACACCCACTGCAAAGAGAACAACCAACATGAGCCCTCAGGCACAAGTGTACAGAACTTTTTAATAGGTGCTTCCTACCAGTGCCATCATCAGTGGGCTACAAACCACAGATATCTAGATGGGAGGCTGAAGCCACCTCAGGCACAGCCTCTCACAGCCACATTTGGCTTCCAAAAGCCTGCGTGCCCCCAGGGATGGAAATACACTGCCCCCTGACTCAGGCTGGTCTGAGCCATCCCCGCTCCAGAGGAACCACCCACACACCTTATGGGCTCATCTCTTTGTGACACCAAGGAACAGAGCACAAACCTCCTGCACCACATGAGAGCATCCCTCCTTCCCAGCCTGGCTCAATGCTGGCATTCCATTTTATCCCTTGATTAGATTCTCTACTAATTTCAAGCCCTGCTGATTTAGGATTTGCCTGCTAACCTGCCTGCTTTTATAACATCTGTATCCAGTCTGTTACGTATTTGGAAGCATGAGAGCTAATTCAGATTATTTGCACAGACTGGACTCAAGAGGTGGTTATTTTATTTTAACACTCAAGCTCGCTGGTGCTTCATTGTGAACCCTGACATTAACTAGAAGGCAAAAACCACTTTTCACAGCCAAAAGGCCAGCTAAAATAAAGCTCTCCAAATTCTATTTAAGGCACCTTTAACCAAAGCAAACAAAAAATATCCAACAATAACAAAAAGCAACCCCATTTCCAAAAGACAGCCAAGATTTAAAATAAACCTACATAGGAGAATCAGATGGCAGTCAGAAATTCATTGGGGTATTTAAAAACTTTGTTTAAATGTTTATTTAATCTTTCTGTTTTCAGATCTGCTGGATGATGACTGTTCCAAAAATCAGGATTCTTGGATTGATTCTGCAAGACTCCACACAGGCCAGTTGTGACCCAGAAAAAGAGAAATTACTAAAGCCAAGCTTTGAAAAGTGCTTGACTTGAGGCCCATGGCTCATCCCACTCTAATCATGTCCTGCTGCTCAGCACTGCAGAGAGTCCATCTCTTATTAAGGTCCTTAAAGACAAAAAAAAGGATTTATTTCAGCAATTGTGAGGGTCCTCTCTGGCGCTACTCCTCAGGAGGAAAACAACTACCTGGGCAAGGAGAACTCTTGCTCCTCTTGCACTAAGTGCAGAGCCTGCAGGTTTTTCCCTGGGGAGTGGGGCTGATGGATGGGGTCCCTGTCCTGTCACAGAAAATCCACACAGGGACACTGTCCCCTGTCCCTGTGAGAGACACATGAGGGAACATCCCAAGCTTCAAGATTCACCCCCAAGTTCCAAGAGCTGCAGCACACATGGTGTGAAGCTCATGGCCAACAAGCTCCGTATCCTCCCAGAGCAATGAGAGGTGGGCAAGCTCAGTGAGAAAATCCATGAGGCATGAATATGAAAATACAGAGCCGGAACTGCTAACATCCATGAGAGATTGTCATGAATTCTCTGAATAATTTGGCTGAGCAAACTCCCTGATATTCATGTCTTGCATGCTGCTGGAGTCCATTGCTCTCCCAAGGCTTTATGGGAACACCATTTGTCCTGCAGTAATAGGGCAGAAAAGCTGGAGCTAAGAATTTCACTTGCTCAAATAAACAGGAACACAAAGGAAAGGAGCTGTGGTTGAAGTTCTGCTTCTCTTCCATTCCCTCACCTCCATGAGATTCAGTTTTGCCCTTCCACAGTATTTTCCAAAGATGATCAACACAGTTCTCTCTGGTGCATGCAGCACATTTCCCTTTTGCCCCAACCAAAGAAAAGATCTACTTCATACTCTGAATCATTTTCAAGATGGTATCCCAGCAACAAGCATCCAGCAGTGTGTATGTAAAACTGGCTCTACTTAGATAAATAGCAGAAAAGACTGCAGTTTCTTTCAAAGACCCAAATGACATTTAAATTTTCCTTTCAGAGACACGTAGTAAACGGAAGGAATAAATCAGCTGATTCAGAAAGCAGCGCCTCAGAGATTTTTTTTGCACACTTTGTCTTGTTTGCTATCAATTAAATGGAAACTCATCTTTAAAACCTTTCTCTCCACATTTCTAACCTCACAATATTACTTCAGATAAGATTATTACAGTATTTTATACCTATTTTGCTGACATTCCTAGGAATTTTATTTAAGCCTATGAAGGAAGGTCTCACTGAAGGGGTGTTTGAAGGTTGGCTGGGAAAGATTTTGCTCCTCTGTTTTGGAGCTGCAGGAAGGGGCTCTGTTAAACCACTGGGGGAGCAAATATCAAGGAAACCTCTCAGCACAGAGCTTTGTATGAGTCAGGGGATCAGGAGATGCAGGCTGTCTCTGCTACAGAAGGGTTGTGCCCCACCTCTTGGACCCCTAAGGAAGGGATTATCCTGCAGGAAGCTTTCCTGGGATTAAAACCCAGTTTGAGCAGGGAGGTGGGAGCACATGTCCCACTGTGGTTGCTCCCAGCCTCACCCAATCTGTGACTCCAGAGTTAACTGGAATCACCTGCTCAAGGTCATTCCATGGAAAAAAGCCTTCTTGAGGGCCAGGTGCCACCCTGGAAATGCTCTGGGTTGAGGAGAGCTCCTGGATGAGCAGGATGCAATGGCTGCATCCCTGCAGCGTTAGCAGCTCCCACAGCACATTTCCTTCATGCACCTTTTGGATAAGGCAGGAGGGTTTAGCCTGTCACTTATCTCCAGCTACAGATCACACCTCAGGCTAACACTGAAATTGTGCAAAGGTCACCTATCCCTAAAATGCCCTCACAGGATTCCTCTAGGACAGCTTGCACAAACTCTGCCCTTCCTTTGAATCCTTTCAGGCTTCTTCTAGTGCCCCTGATCCTAAACAACTCCAACCCAAAAGCACTCAGAGGGGTCTCAGGGACCTCAGGGTGGGAAAGCCAGAGCTGCTGCTGAGGAGCCGTCCAGAGCAAAGGCAGCACAGAGGAGAGGACACAGCAGCCAAGCCCAGCCAAGCTGGTAGGATGTCAGGGGACAGGACGGTCAGGATGGATGGAGATGAGAGATCTCCGAGGCCAGATCAGGAACTTGGGGTTTATTGCAAAGGGCCTGGGTGCAGGGCCCTGCTGGGAGCTGCCAAACACAGCTCAGAGCAGGCCCGAGAGGAGAGAGAGAGCAAAAGGGGTAAGAGAGCGAGGTTCTCATTACAATACAATAAATCTTCTTCTGTGTTGAATATTCTGATTTGTTGTCTTATATAGCACAGCAGTTCTATTATCATTATGTTACCTTAGATATCAAGAGTTCTACTATCATTATGGCACAAGGATTCCATATCACCAGGGTTTCGTACCTCCTCGATGTTTCTCATAGGCAGCTCCTCTAGGCACTGACTCTTCCTGGTCCTTGCAGCAGCCATCTGACTGCAGCTCCCACCAATCCACTCTTTTATACCACTGCTCTTATTGGCTACAGGTGTGGCCTGTTAACATCAGGCCTGCTCCTAATCTTTAGTAATGGGTTCAGCTGCAACTCTTTAGGGGGTAAGATTGCACTCTATACACCTTCATTTACCCACACTGTGTACCCCTACACTAATTTTAACTAACTAATCTAGTACAATATACAAATTTTATAGCATTTACATACAGCCTATAAGAATCATTACATTACCATACTGTGTTGCATTTTTAACTATTTAAAAACTCCTCTTTGGGCCCCTTCTGCCAAGCTGGCAGGGTCTGCTCTGAGCCTTGGGCCTGTCTGCAGGCAGAGGGTGTTGTTCCATCTAAAGGGGATCACCTTCAGCTGGCCACACCATTATTTTCTCCATTGTTTGAAGTATCTCAAAGCTTGCTTTCATTTCAATCTCCCTTATAGTTTCCATATTCTCAAGACCTTTTGCCAGACAATGATATTAATAAGGCTTTCCTGTTGCATGCCCCCACCAGAGCTCACTCAGAGCTTACCCTGGAGGAGGGCAGGTTGCAGGCCTCCAGCGCCGTCTCCACGCGCTTTCTGTCCGAGGAGAACAGGCGGTAAATGCTGCAAGGGGCACAAACACAGGGGTTTGCTGTAAACAACTGCCTTGATGGCCCTTGTGCCTCAAGGACTGAGGATCTCCCAGCAGCCTATTGCATCTTTAGCCATTTGTTTCCATTTGCTGGCTGCTCAGTACAGAGGGGAGTTTGACAGAGCTTGGTTTTAACTCTACCCCACACCAGCCCCTATCACAGCAGGCATTTATTTCAGCCATCACTGGTCTCTTCATTCCCCCAGTGACATACAATTTGAATCTGTTTATTCACACATGTCCCTGAGATAAAGAAATTATGCTGCTTCTTTTTTTTTTTTAATTTTAAATTTTCACAAGTGGAAAGAACCAGGGCAAAGAGGCAGGACATCTGTGTCCAAAGGGCATTTGAGCAGAGACACCCCATCATCACTGTTATAAAGAGAGGGTAAAATTATTCTCCTAGGCACAGGGGTGCCAAACTCATCCCAAACACATCTTCACAGCCCCAAGTCAGCAGAGAGCACGTGGCAAGGAAGGGGAACAGCACTTACTTCTTCAGAGGAATGCGCCCCTCTGGAGTCACCTGCAGCTTGAGCTTTGTGTAGCTGTGGAGAGAAAAGCACCCTGCTTTATTTTTACAGCATTTTCAAGGAGCTCTCCATCACCTTCCTAGCTCTGGGCTAGTGCTCTGATCATGTGGCAAGTCCCACTCAGCTCCTTCTCCCAGTAGGAAAACGTGTTGGGATATCATTATTGACCACAAACCTTCTACTGTCTGTCCTGAGAGAACTGTAAATGAGTTTTGCAGTAATATCATCTGGTGAAAAATGTGGCAACACTTAAACACTTTAGAGGACTTTTTTTTTTTTTTTTTTGTTAGAAAATTCAGCTTTTTCACTTCACCCAGTGGTCTGCCAAGAGAAGAAGGAACTGCATGGTTCTAATAAACTTTCCTTTTCTCCCCAACAGAAAATGCCATTAGCAACCACTTCAAAAGCACAGTGCATGCTGAAAGTAGGATGACTGGGATAGGAACATTTCCACAAATCCTTGACTGTCCACAGTTTCATTGTCTGGAAACTGAAGCCTTTCATGCTACTGTGTCACCAAGCACAATTCCCAGCACTGAGGGAGATTAAAACAAAAAAATCACAGCAGCTATTTAAAAAAACCAAAGTTACTTTTATTTTGCCTTCTATCTTTTCAAAATTTTGACTACATTTTGGTGACATTGAGTGTTTTCCTCTATAACCAAGGAAGTTAGAAATAACAGAAGATGGGCAAAAGCTGTTTATTATTGCACTTCCAGTGCTCCAAGGAACTGAATGCCATAGAGAAAACCCCTTCATTCTGCTCCAATGCAATCTAGTTTTCTCTTTCAACAAAAGGGTTCTGATAGGACTCCAACCAACTCTTTGCTTAGTACGCCAATTATAATGGGGAAATAATTTAATCTTCAAAGTTATACATTTCTTAAGTGGCTGATTTGGCATCCGTGCAGAGGAGCTGGGAAACCTCACGGTTTCCAAGTGATTTATTAATTAGTGGGAAAAAACACAGGAATGCCATGCTTGCCTGCCACTGAATCCACACAGTGCGTCCAGTGACTTCATCTTTAATTAATATGGCTTGAAAAGCTGCCAAGGAACAGCTCCAGCCAAGGAGCTCTGCTGCAGCGTGTGATGAGACATTTCATCCCTGGTTGGGGTAGGAAAGGGCCTATTAGGCACAGCCCAACCCTCCCCACTGCAGAGCTGCCAGCAGAGCCCACTGGGCACCGGGGCATTTCAGGGGCAGGAAATTGTACAACAAATCCCCCTCCAAGCCCTTCTCCAGCCTGTGGAGCTGAAGGAAGTCACAGCTCAGGTGGGCACACTCCCAGCAGGCAGGGCCAACAGGAAATGTGAAATGTTCCCATCCATCTGGGATTTTGTTTGCCTAAAACATCCCTGCTGCCCCAACACACCATTGTCAGACACAATACTGTGTTTCCAACAACACCCACCCTTCAGATCTGCCTTAAGAATTTCTGCATGGGGAGGAAACACACACCCACAGATGCACATCCCTCCCTCCCACCCACAGCAGGCACCTGTGGCTCTGTGGGATTAAATTCAGCACTCTGGAACATTCTGACTCTGAGGGCAGCTCATGGAAGAAACCTCACAAAGTGCAGGAAAAGGGGAGGTTAATTTTGGAAGGAAGATGATTTTAGGAAGGTAAGTTTAGCCCTGCCTGTGAGCAGGGAAAGGTGTTTGGGGTGACACAAAGCTGACTTTAAGCAGCTAACTCAGAGCCTAGGGAGGTGCAGTCCCTCTTTTAGATGCCCAAAAAGCCAGTGAGTATCCCAGTTCAACACCAGCACTTTCTGGCAGGCTTTGCCATGCTGTTCTCAAAGCTCTGATTTCCACTAAACTGCCTCTCATCAGCTGAGAATTGCTAACATGAGGTTTAGCTCTCTTCCCTTTCAGGTGTGCATTTCACCCAAACCTTCTCACAAACAGCTTTTCTGCTTCATGGAAAGCAACCCAGAATCTGCCCTCTCTGCCAGGCAATGCAGAGGAACGAATTCTCTCTGGATCACATGGAAATCAGAGAGATGGGACTGAGGAAAAGGGACTTCTGGCATTTCTCTTTTTTTGTTTTGTTATCAATAAAAGACAAATAGGAAAACAAACCAGAAGCAAGTCAGTCCAGAATATTCTTTCTTTTTAAATGGAGACTTTCAGCCTAGAGCTGAAGCTTCAACTGTACAAGGGGCAGGGAACATGGAACTCTGACTTTTTCTGCAATGATTTCATAGTTTGCCAGGAGAACCCTAGAAAGGATTTTTGCTTAGATGACTTGTGGATAACAGGCTTTTTAGAGCCAAAGGAACAAGGAGCTGTGTTTACAGAAGTGACAAGGCAGCAGAGCAGAAACAATGTGTGCCAAGGTGAGTAAGAGGCTGGAGGAAGATGCTGCAGAAGAAGGAGCAGCTCCCTAGGGTGACAGGCAGGGCCTTCTCCACAAACAGGATACCCAGCTCCCCAGGGTGACACAACCAGGGCCTTCTCCAGAAACAGGACACCCAGCTCTCAGGGTGACACAACCAGGGCCTTCTCCACAAACAGGACACCCAGCTCTCAGGGTGACAGGCAGGGCCTTCTCCAGAAACAGGACACCCAGCTCCCCATGGTGACACAACCAAGGCCTTCTCTAGAAACAGTACACCCAGCTCCCCAGGGTGACACAACCAGGGCCTTCTCCACAAACAGGACACCCAGCTCCCCAGGGTGACACAACCAGGGCCTTCTC